GCAGATAATTTTGTACTTTTTGTTTCAGGCTACTATTGGAATTTCCTTTGCAGTATGCTCTTCCATTTTGATAATTATTTTTTTAGCCTTTATATTATATATTGCCAGGTAGTCTATCAACATTCAATGGATGTGTGTATGTGTGTGTGTATATATTTTAATATTTCCATAGTCTGTCAACATCCAATAGAAATCCAATGGATATTAATAGACTATTGGGAAATGTATTGTATATTATATATTAATAAATATATATAAAATTATGTAAACATAAAATACATAATATGAATATATAAACATATATTTCATTGTAACTGTGTTCCTCTGTAATCATATGCATTTTATTTCCTGCACTTCAAAACGTTCAGAGAAAGTGTTTATGGCACACAAGAAAAAGCTAAGAATTCCTACTTTAGACAATCCCAGCTACTCCTGCAACTTCAATTACCAATTCTTCACCAATGACTCACCCAGTTTTTTTCCTCCAATTCAGACCTCTCAAATTCTGGATCACGTATTTATAACCCCACATAACCCCACTTGAGAATCCTAAGTGATGCTTTAAAGAAACCTCTAACTCAACAGGCGCAAAACCAAACTCACCTTCCTCCCTCGTCTGGTCCTTTGCCAATGAAAAGGCTGGGCATGGTGGCTCACACCTGTAGTCCCAGCGTTTTGGATGGCTGAAGCAGGAGGACCGCTTGATATGAGGAGTTCGAGATCAGCCTGGGTAACAATAGTGAGACCCCATCTCTACAAAAAATGTTTTGAAAACTAGTGCACACCTTTAGTCCTAGCTATTCCAGAGACTGAAGCAGGAACAGCTCAGGAGTTCAAGGTTACAGGAGCTATGATGGCACCACTGCATTCCATCCTGGGCAACAGAGCCAGACCCTGTCTTTAAAAAAACAAAACTTTCTCGGAATATGATGCTGAGAAAGCCAGAAGCCTAGTCCTTCATCTCCTAATCCTCACAAAGATCTGCTGATTTCATCACCTAAACTTTGCTCATATCTGTCTACTTTGCTCCATAGCTTGGAGCTACTGGAGTTATTGGAGTTACTGGTGACCTTACCTGGTTTAGTGGAATGGGAGGGCTATAGGTCAGATGGGCAGGGGTTAATGGGTAGTGGGTGGGAAGTACATAAAAGGAGACAGTCAATACAGACAACTCCTCTGGAAACTTTGGGCAAAGAATCCTGGAAGATTTTGGAGGATAGTATTCTACTTTCCTTTCATTCCCAACACCACCTTTTAGTCCAACCACACCTCTGGGTCAGACAGTTGCTGGCACCAGTAAACAGGCAGAGCTTCAGACTTCTTGCTGAGCTTTCACAAGGTAAACTAGCCTAAAAACACCCCCCAGTGGAGATATGACAGAATTTGTGTGTGCTGGGAGGTAGGAGGTTCCTTGTAATATTTTATTAGTAAAACTAATACTACAAGGCATACATCTGGACTGAGAGAATAACCTCTTCATTGATCTTCATTCATTCCTGCTCTCCTCCAAACTGTTATCCATACCACAGCCAGGAATCTTTCCAATCCTAAACCTGATCATATTTAAACTCCTTCTTCTGTCTTCCTTGCCGATTTTTTCTCCCCAACTAACCACATTCATGATCTGTGCTACAGCCACTTGAGACTTCTTTTGATTCCTCAAACACACTATGGTCTCTTACCACAGGCTTTTGTGTATGCTGTCCCCTCTGCTGTTCCCACCCTCTCTTTGCTTGGTTAACTCCTGTTGATTCATCAGCTCTTAGCTCAAATGTCATTTCTTCAGGGAAGTCTTCATTGCTCTTCAAGACAGGTTAAGACTCCCAGTTGCTACATTCTGAGAAATGTGCCTAAAAAGAAACTCCTAGTTGTAAACTCTCATCACATCCTGTCCTTTCCTCTCACAGCACTTGCCGCAGTTTGCAGTTATATATTTGTCGTTGTGATTATTTGATTAACGTTTGTCATTTCTGACAGGAAGCCCTAGGAGGCCAGGAAGCAGGCCTCTTTTCTTTCTTTTTTTTTTTTTCGACAGAGTCTCACTGTGTTGCCCGGGCTAGAGTGCCGTGGCGTCAGCCTAGCTCACAGCAACCTCAAACTCCTGGGCTCAAGCGATCCTCCTGCCTCAGCCTCCCGAGTAGCTGGGACTACAGGCATGTGCCACCATGCCCAGCTAATTTTTTCTATATAATTTTTAGTTGTCTGATTAATTTCTTTCTATTTTTAGTAGAGATGGGGTCTCGCTCTTGCTCAGGCTGGTTTTGAACTCCTGAGCTCAAACAATCCGCCCGCCTCGGCCTCCCAAAGTGCTAGGATTACAGGGGTGAGCCATCGCGCCCGGCCCCTCTTTTCTTTCTTTTTCTTTCTTTTTTTTGAGACAGGCTTTCACTCTGTTGTCCAGGCTGGAGTGCAGTGGCACGATCATAGCTCACTGCAACTCTCCAACTCCTGGGTTCGAGCAATCCTCCTGTTTCAGCCTCCTGAGTAGCTAGGACTACAGGTATGTGCCACCACATCTGGCTAATATTTAAATTTTTTGTAGAGACCAGGTCTTGCTATGTTGCCCAGGCTGGTCTCGAACTCCTGGCCTCAAGAGACCCTCTCACCTCAGCTTCCTGGGATTATAGGAGTGAGCCACCATGCCTGGCCTGGTCCTTTTTTCATACCATCATATCATAATATAATGCCTAATAATGTGTGTGTATTATGTGTGCATGTGTATGACTGGTCAAGGGTCTAGATATGCAAAGCAAAGCAGACCTGGACTGTGGTTACCTCATAAGGAGACACCAGACGTAGTGGCCCTTTCAGAGCAGTCCGTCTGCCTCCTTCAAGGACAGCTCTCTGGCTGGGCCACTGTCATCTGTAACATATAATAGGATATACCATCTGCTTGTTTGGTTTCTGAATCATCTGAATCCACCCTGATTCAGCAATGTGGACTATCAGCTTTCTGAGACAGAGAGAACAACCTTGAAATAATTGCCATTATTCATTTGACCAATATTATTCTGTGCCTATCCCTACTGTGTTCAAACACTGTGCTGGGAATGGGGAAACAGATGAATGAGGCCTGGTTATTATTTTCAAGGAATTTACAGTTTTGAAGCACAGTCAGATATATAAACAAATTATAACTTCCTCTTTGAAAACACTAATATTACAAGGCACACTTGAAGTTTTAAAGGATCATAGATAAGAGAATGACCGTCAAAGCACTTAGCAAAACCCTAGCTCAAAGAAGTGCTATTTATGTCAAGGGACATATTTTTCAAACCTTCTAAGCTCTAACTTTGGATCTGTTTATATCATAAGAAAGCAATTTACTTGGACCACAAGCCCCTTATAAAATAACCATCACTAGGTTGCTTTTTATGTCCTTAGCTTTTGTCAGCCATAACAAGAAATATCCATATAAATTTTGCTTTTGCATTTGTTGTTCAAGTCCTCGTGATTGCTTTATTACATCATTCACTGTTTCCCAATAAAATCATATGAGAAACTACCTTTAGAATTTAGTGATATAGGAAAAAAAAACCCTATAGTCTACCTTCTCTGATGAACTCATTCGCTTCAGATGACAAAATCTATTCAACATGTACTGTGTTTTCATTTTTGCCCTGGCATGTAGGAAGCTCAGAACTAAATTTTGAATTCAGTTACAGTCATGTTTAACCCCAGGATAATTATGATCTTTTTCTCTGGTCCTAATATTTCATTTCTTATTTTCTAGTCTATTGTAAACCTCCTTTATATTCTTATGGACAAGAGATGGAATAAAATAAACTTAATATTTGGTATGTTCAGTTCTTTTAGAATTATTTCTGCTATTTTACAAAGATAAATGCAAAAATACATGACCTATGTTATGCTCTTTAAAGAATTTGGAGAAACTGAAGAGGACCCAGAGAAAAGCAACAGAGAAGGGACTGGGAACAGAAAAGAATGGGAACTTAGATGGTATGCCCATATTCTCCAACTCAAATATTGGGGCACATCGCTCTGGCATATGAGCTATTAGAAAAGATTATCTGAAATTTGGACTGTTCTGAAAAATCCCAGAGATATGTTGAAGACAGATCCCAGGAGGCATGGTCATTATTAATATATATGAATAGTTACAGAAAGGCTTTAACATTTTCTTGGATCACAGATCCCTTTAATGATCCGTTGAAAGCAATGGAACTGCTCCCCAGTAAAACACAGGGACATACAGTTTCTGAAGGCAGAACCCTCCTGTTATCTATTTATAGTTCCAGAGTATCAAAAGCTCTCTACAGCTGTTACTGCTGTAAAGAATTCAGATAGACCTGAGGAAGAACCTGAGTTGCCAAGTCAGACGGGGAAACTGGCAAATGGCTATATCAGCTGAAGTTCTTAACGCTGACACCATTCTCAGATGGTTTAAGCCAGTGGGTGTTTTCTGTTTGTTTTTAACTTTTTTGAGTAACAGACCCTTTTGATGAGCTGATTAAGGTATGGGTAAGTTATTGCAAAAATACTACCACAAAACAGCCCACCGCCACACAATTTTGCACATGATTTCGTGAGGTTCTTGGACTTCCTAAAGCTCATCCTCAGATAATTTGGTTATTTTTAAGTGCAAGACTTCCGTAGACTCAGAGGAATGCCCTTGATGACCTTTAAGAATCGTCTTCTCTTTTATCATGGGGACAAGAGAGGCCTAAAAGGTTATGGGTCCAAGAGTTACCAGACCCCGGTGGCCTCTCACCAGGCCCCTCCAAGCTCTCCCCTCCCCCCGTCCATGCCGCGCAGGTGCGAAAACCTAAGGGGCCACCGGGACGCGACTGCCGGAGCGCGGGGGGATGGGAACCTGGGAGGGGCGGAGGCGGGGGTGGGGACCTTCCCGATGTTGCTTGGTGACCACGCTCTCCGCCCAGACCGTTCCATTTCCTCAGCAGGGGGCGCCGCGGGCCCGGCCTGGCTGACCAAACTCCCAGAGCGGCGCTCTTCCGGTTTCCTCCCCCTATGCCGGGCGGTGGCGCGCGCCCGTGGCGTCACAGAAGGCGGGGCCAGCGCCGCTGCCGGGTGCTGGAGGCGCCATTGGAACCGGCTTGGCTTGTGAGCCCCGCTGAGGAGCCGGAGGTTGGGCCACAGTTACCGCCCCGTCAGCTCCCGGTCCTTGGCCCCTCAGCGGCATGGCGTGCGGGGCGACTCTGAAGCGGCCCATGGAGTTCGAGGCGGCGCTGCTGAGCCCCGGTTCCCCGAAGCGGCGGCGCTGCGCCCCTCTCCCCGGCCCCACTCCGGGCCTCAGGCCCCCGGACGCCGAGCCGCCACCACCGCTGCTTCAGACACAGATCCCACAGCCGTCTCTGCAGCAGCCCGCCCCGCCCGGCAGCGAGCGGCGCCTTCCAACTCCGGGTAACCTACGTTGTTGCGGGCTTGGCAGGAAGCCAGGCCCAGGCATATTGCGGGGGGGGGGGTTGTGAACGCCAGGCCAGTTCACCCACGACCCCATCTTTGCCTTGAGAAAAGGGAACTGGGGTGCCGCTGAGCCTGGTTGCTTCTGGGGATAGGAGATATCAGGGAGGGGTAGTGGAGCCACTGTCGGTTTTCGGTTTTCCTGGAGCTGGAGATCCTGGAGGGGTGGACACCAAGAGGAAGATGGGAATACCCCTGGCCGTTCAGGGCCCTCCCGGTCCTTGAAGCCCCTCCTGCCTCCGCTGCCCGGGCCTGCACTGAGCCGCCCTGCAGATCCAGTGGGCCATGGAAAATTGGATTCTGCTCACGATCCCGGCCTTGAGGATGGGGGTGGGGGCGGGTTAATGGGAAGGGGCGTGAGTATGTGCTGTTCTGCACTGTACTATAGCTTGTAAGGAGACCTCTTTGCAGAAGTCTTTAGGGACCCGAGGCTGCCGGAAGAATCAGGGAATCCGATTTCAACCTGACCATTTCAGGGGGACTGGCCGTGTTCTTTTATTGTATGGCTATTGTCTTGTACCATATATGGCTTGAAATCGGTAGGTCGTTAGCTAGAATTTGAGAGTCCTTCGCCGTACCGAGGTTCTGGAAGCAAGAAGTCAACTCTCCGTAACACAGGGACTCTCCTTCAATAAGACATTTCACTTTGGCCAAGGAAAAGGAAGGGCTGGTCTTACAGTAAAGATACCAAATCGTAGTTCGGGAGTAGAGGAGAAAGTGCATCAGCGTTAATATTCAGCAGTTTTTAAGGGCTGCCAGAAATGAGGGGGGCTCAGAAATAGACTTTGGCCAGTCATTTCTTTGGGTATTTTTATATTGCTCAAGCTTAAGAAAAACCTTGGGATTACTTTAAAATCATTCTTTCCTCACCTCTTTTCGCTTACCAGTGGCCATTAGGTTTCATTTCCTCCTTGCTTTGCATATCCACAATGCAGATTTCAGGCCCTCATCCTCATGGTAAGATTCCTGCCGCCATCTGAGCCCTCCCAGACTTTATATCCTTACGGGTGTTCATCTCGACTTTATCCTGGAATTCAAAGGATTTATCACCTATAACCATATCTCACCTAGTCAGTCTTTTATATATTTTCTTCAAACTGTACCTCTGTTCTTTCCTCCAGACCCACCCTTCTGTGCCTGTATCATGTTTTCCGCTTCTATTTGCTAAACCCCGTGGAGTCATTTCTTCAAATTTCTCATCCTTTACCTGACTAACCTGCTGTTAAAGAACTCTGTTCTACTTTAAATTCCCTGGCCACTCAGTGTTGTATAACCTTATGTACAGAATGAGATAATGTTTTCAAAAGTTCTTTTTAAAGAGCCCTCAAAAGTGGGGGTGGGGAAGGCATAGTTGTCTCTACTTGCAGTGATATTTTTTTCTTCCAGGGCTCCTGCAGATACCCAGAGATAGTCACATAATCTTTTTGGTGAAGTGAAGGTTATATTTGTCCTATCTTTTGTTGAGGATCCATCGAGATAGGTGCAAAAAGTATTTTGAAAAGTATAAAGTGATGGGTTTTATGTAAATGTTTTCTTAAATAATACCATCTACATTAATTCTGTTGTAGTTCACGTTATAATAATTGCTTAATAAATGACTGTGGGGTTTTTTTTTTTTTTTTTTTTTTGGACTCTCTCTCTGTCACTGGGGGCTAGAGTGCTGTGGCATCAGCCTAGCTCACAGCAACCTCAAACTCCTGGGCTCAAGTAATCCTCCTGCCTCAGACTCCTAAGTAGCTGAGACTACAGGCGCATGCCACCAGGCCTGGCTTATTTTTTCTGGTTTTGGTAGAGATGAGGTCTGGCTCTTGCTCAGGGTGGTCTCCAACTCCTGACCTCAGGCGCTCCTCCTGCCTCAGCCTCCCAGAGTGCTAGGATTACAGTCTTGAGCCACCTCACCCGGCCATGATCATTGAATGTATTTGGAAGTCTGAATATAGCAGAGTGCTATAATGGGGCCACTGTTTTTTTAAATCTTAAAATCTAATTTTTGCAAAGATCATGCAAACTAGTTTCCTGGTTATTTTTTTATTATTATTTATTTATTTATTTTTTGAGACAGAGTCTCACTCTGTTGTCCGGGCTAGAGTGCCGTGGCATCAGCCTAGCTCACAGCAACCTCAAACCCCTGGGCTCAAGCAATCCTCCTGCCTCAGCCTCCCGAGTAGCTGGGACTACAGGCATGCGCCACCATGCCCATCTAATTTTTTATATATATGTATATAGTTTTAGTTGTCCAGCTACTTTCTTTCTATTTTTTTTAGTAGAGATGGGGTCTCACTCTTGCTCAGACTGGTCTCTAACTCCTGAGCTCAAATGATCTGCCCGCCTCAGCCTCCCAGAGTGCTAGGATTACAGGCATGAGCCACCATGCCCGGCCAGTTTCCTGGTTATTTGTGTTAAAATATTTTATCTAAAATATTCATTTGTAAAGATTGATCAGTTATGTTTCTATTTTTTAACTTGACATTGTGCACATACCAGTTATATTTCTTAATGCTTATTGGAATATGGTTCTATTATGACAGAAATACAAATACTAATCCTTATTTGGTGCTTTGGCTTAAGTGAAAAATGTCTTTTTGATTAAAAAGGAAGAATGGGGGTGGGAATGTTGCTATACAAGTAGAAAGAATAAACCAACTAGTGGAAAAGAGAGTTTAAAAATCAGTGACTTCATTTTATAACATCACAGTTGTTATCTCAAGGGTTGTAAACTCTTAGAAGTGGTCAAGAAATTATTTTTACCTCACTTTATAAAAAGATATGCGTAATACAGGTTGAGGGTCTCTAAACGAAGAATCTGAAATCCTAAATGCTCCAAAATGCTGCCAGCATGACACTCAAAGGAAATACTCATTGGATCATTTCAGATTTCAGGTTAGGGATGCTCAACTGGTGAGGATGATGCAAATATTCCAAAATGTGAAACAACTTCTGTCTCAAGCGTTTTGGATAAGAAATACTTGACCTGTTTAGCACTTTTTGTGGAAGGGTCCTATAAAATTAAGTCTTTCGTCGCTTAAATTTTTATTGAGTGCTGGGTGGACGCCAGGCATGGATGGGAGTTGCTGACCTCAGGGAGATGTTTGTAAACATAGAGTGAGTCTAGATGCAAAGCAATTAATTGACCATGACTTGAGAGTTGGGGAGTAACTTCTGCATTGAGATAGCATTTTAGCTGAGTCTTGAGTAAAGTTTGGGGGCCAGCCTCATTTGAAGCACGGGGATATTACTAGAGCAAAGGCCAGAAAACCCACAAAATAAGGAAAGAATAATTTAATGTTAACTGGATTGTTGTAGGATATGGAACTGGGAAAATAAATTGGGTTCCGGTCTTGGAAGGCATTGAATGCCATGTTCAGGAGGTCGAATTTTGGTCTCTAGCAGCTTGGAACCACTATAGAGTTTTGGGGCTTGGCCTAGCCTGATACAACCTAGAAACACAACTTCAAATAATAGTGGGAGGCAAGGATTAAAATTATTATCCACTGTTAAAAAGATTTGCATTTTTCTTTTTTAAAACTTTCCTGTTTTATGTGGCCTTCTTTGGAAGAAAATCATATCTACTTGAACTTGCTAGTCCTTCTACCAGCCTCAAAGTTGGTTGTACCTTTCCATTTGTTCACTTTACCACACAGGAGGCAATTAGAGGTTTATCGAAGACTTTCTGTTCCCATGAGTATTGTCCTCATATTTGTCCTTTCTTATTTCAAGTCTTTGCAGTTTCTTACATCCTTGTCTTGAATCTGGCAAGTATGCGCTTGAGGAATAGTACATTTTTAAAATGAAATGAAACTTCATAAATTTAGAGATCTAAAATATGAACTTCATAGCACTTTTAAAGGCAAGCATTGTGCATTGCTAATCCTACATTTTTCCAATGTTTAGGCTGACAGTTATGGAATTTAAGTATGTATGGAGCCGTTTAGGGTTCATGTCTGTTCCTGGACTGGACTGTCACGTGTCATGGTGTTATCGTTATCTTTGATTTTGATTTTCACTACCTTATCAGATAGGCATTTGACATTTATATTGAAGAACTAGACTAAAGGTCCTAAATGACTTCCCAAGATTACAGACACACAGCTAAGAAGAAGCAAAGTGACATTATTAACATCTCCCACCATTAAGAAAATACAGCAAAGTATACACTAGAATAATAAGAGTTGGAGTGGATACAATTTTCTGGAATTCTTTTTTTCTTAGGAGACTTTATTATCTAGAGAGTGAATACAGTATTTTACTACAAAAATGAAGAACTTGAAAACCACATCCTTTCAAATTCTTTGTTGTCTCTAGGAGTGTACTTCAAAGTGGTTAGTAATTTGTGTTTCCTGGACTCCCTTTAATAGTGTTAGCAAATTTGGTTTGTGATTACCTTGACTCAGAATAGTAATCTGAATTCCACCACATACTGCCTTTTGAAGGATCAGAATTCTTTTCTAAGCCCTCACCATCAGTCCCAAGCAATAAACCTCAGCTCTTCCCCTGGTTAGTTAGTGTCCAGGCTGTGAACATAATGGTTTCTGCTGTCCTCTTTTCCAAAGATCTTAAGAGTCCTGTATGGGACAAGAGCTTCGTTGTTAGAAGGCCTTGGGTGGTAAGAGACTCCCCTTTAATACCGTAGTTTGAGAAATTATAAAACTTAAAGAAGATCAAAAATAGCACCCTATTAGGTATTGGGAGGTTTCTTTTACTGTAAGTTGTACTAATCACCCAGCAAAGGGCAGATCTAGTCTTCATTGCCACAGGAATGAAGGGAACTCTGGGTGGCTTATGCCAAAATAGCCACTATTTTATGCATTGTTGAAATAGTGGCAGTAAGAGTACACTGTCTCTGGGGCTAGAGGGGGAATGTTTTATACACTATCAACATTTTACTTGTTTATATGGGGGGGGGAAGAGATTGAGACCTACATGCCTTAAAGGGAGTATCTAAAGTCTAATCAAAAGACCTTCCTTGTCTCTTCCCACTTGTTAAGAAAGTTTGAAGAAATGACACAATAAAGTGAAAGCTCAAGTTTATTTCTTTTTTATTAGAGCAAATTTTTCAGAACATTAAACAAGAATATAGTCGTTATCAGAGGTGGAGACATCTAGAAGTGGTTCTTAATCAGAGTGAAGCTTTTGCTTCCGAAAGTCAACCTCACTCCTCAGCACTCACAGCACCTAGTTCTCCAGGTAAGCCTGCTTTGATATGTAAAATCCATTTAAGAGTTTGTAAATCATACTTATAATGGTTTCCCAATCCAGAATTGATCTTCTCTAATGTAACAAAATTGGTAAAGTGGATACATTATATTACTACTTATAAATACTTTTAAAACCGTAAAATCATAAAACTGGAAAAGACCTTAGATTGATTTGATTGTACTTCCATCTAACCAGTACAAGAGCATCCTCATCTATAACTGCAATGTGTAATACTGTGGCCATTAGCCATGTGTGGCTGTTTAATTTAAAATTAATTAAAATTAAATAAAATGTAAAAATTCATTTTCTCAGATGCAGCAGTCGCATTTCAGGTGCTCAGTAGCTACATATGGCTGTTGTATTGGATCTGTAGGACACTTCCATCATTGCAGAACATTCTGTTGGACAGTGCTGCTCTGTAACATCATTGCCAGGAGGTCAGAGAGGATGTGCTCAAAAGTAGAATCTCAAGGTTGGAGAAAATCTTCATGGTCATGTAGGAAACCAGTCTTGCCTACCATATTGCTTGCTGTTGGAGTTCAACAGACCAGTGTTAGAATATCTCCAGTGACGGTGAATTCTGTCTCCTTTAATAGTAGGGGAGAATGTTTCCTCACAAAGTACTTTACTTTTTAACAGTTCTAAGGGTTAAAAGTTACCTCGATTTAAAAATTGTCTCCTTACAGAATGTAAATTGGTGTTTGCCAGGAGCTAGGGGGAGGGGAGAGTGGGAAGATAAATGCTTAATAGGTGAGTAGTTATACTTTTTGTAGTGATGGGAATGTTTTGGCACTAAATACCATTGTTTGCTTTAAAATGGTTAATTCTATTTTATGTTAATTTAACCTCAATAAGGTTTTTTTTTTAATTGTTTCCTTATAATCCAAAGGTCCTAGCTGTGGAACAACACCATCTCACTTAATTGCTGTTGTCCATACATTAGGCCTTTCGATGGTTACAACTAGGAATCTTGAGATTTTAGTAATATAATTTTGAAGTAATAGAATGTGTTATGGGTATGACTAGCTAGATGGTTAGGTAAGGTTTTATTTGTAGGGAAAAAGATACACTGTAGTTAGTCGAAGCAAAAAATTATTTGTTTCAGGTTGTTAAATAGCTTACAGGCTAAGTAAGAAGGCCAAAGAAAAAGACTGTAGTCTAAGCTTTCAGGAACACCTCAGAACTGGGCTACCTACCACTAGGGCTGCTTTTTTTTTTTTACCATGATCAGAAGGCCACCCATGGAATCTGTTTCTCCAGTTGCCAGCTCTAGAGCCAGGCTGCTGCTGCTTTAGCCTTACCACCAGAATAGATGCCTGGTGCAAGCTTATCCCTCCTCTTAACTTAGTACTGAACTCAAAGCTTTTGTGAGTGAATCTGATTGGCAGAACCTAATCACATCGGAAATCTTAGCTACCAAGGAGTCTGAAAAATGTAGTTTGAATTTCAGAGCCTCTACTGGGAAAAGACTGAGGAGAAACTAAAAGGAAGTTACAATAGGTGTTTAGGCAAAGGAATCCATAGTGTCTACCACAAACATTCTGCTCCTTGTAATGCTAGGTTTCTATGTTTTCTGGCATTCCAGTGGATATTTTGGTTTCTAACTTTACTATTTTGTGAACATTTCACTCTTCTCAACCTGAATTCAAAAGGAATCTAGGATGAGATGTGTAGTGCCTAATTGTTTCCATTCATACTTCAAAAAGAGATTCTTGGCTGGGCACAGTGGCTCATGCCTATAATCCTAGCACTTTGGAAGGCCAAGGCGAGAGGATCGCTTGAGCCTATGAGTTCAAGACCAGCCTGGGCAACACAGCAAGACCCTATCTCTACAAAAAATTTTTTAAAAATTTAGCTGGTTATAGTGGTACATCCCTGTAATCCCAGCTACTTGGGGGACTGAGGCAGGAGGATCACTTGAGCCCAGGAGTTTGAGGTTGTAGTGAGCTATGGTACCACTGCACTCTAGCCCAGGCAACAGAGTAAGACTCTGTCTCAAAAAAAAAGAGAGAGAGAGAGAAAAGAAATTCTTTGTGAATATGCTTGAACTTATTAATAACTTGATTTGATGACTTAAAGGTTAATGACTTTGCTAACAGTTTTTCTCCTGAGCCTTAAACTCCCCATTTTTTATGAGAATCACCTATAGAGTTTAAAATAAAAGATACCCAAGCCCTGCCCCAGAATTAAATCAGAATGTGTATCTTTTTTTGTTGTTGTTAATGTTACAGATAATTATGATGCACCTTCTTGTTTAAACATAGGTCTAGATTATCTCCAAAGATCTTGGTAATTCTCATGCTATGAGTCTACTTTCTGTAATCCAGACTAGAGGTTTTATATCAGCTTTAAACTTTTTGTTCTTGTCGTTTATGAAGTGATCATTTAGTATGGGCTCAGATTGTTATGGCATCAGAGCTGTTTTTCTGTATGTAGATCAGCTAACAACAACTAGATACACGTTGTTCCTCCTGCTTGTCAATTTACCTTTGGCTTTGTAAAACAAGTGGCAGAAACCGAAAGTATTTTGCGAAAATATTACACATAAAGTAATGAAAATTGAAATTTTTCTAAACAGTTTTTATGTATCGTGAGGACTGTTTATATGAAGCTATTAATTCCAAATCTTAGAACTGTTAATAGATTATATTGTGTAAACTAGATTTATCTTTTGCCCAGGTACCTCCTGGATGAAGAAGGACCAGCCCACCTTTACCCTCCGACAAGTTGGAATAATATGTGAGCGTCTCTTAAAAGACTATGAAGATAAGATTCGGGAGGAGTATGAGCAAATCCTCAATACCAAACTAGCAGGTAGGCTGAGGCAGTGACTATGCCATTGTTGTTAAATAGGGTTCAGTAAGAATTAACCCCAGTTAAATTTGAAAAAGAGATGAGGGCTTTCACTCAAGAGGGTTTATTGAATTGTGAGTATTGAGGTTACTGTTTGTTGATTGTGAATTTGTCATTTATACCTTATATGGAAAGACTTCCCATTTGTATTTCTGAAAGCAGATTAAACAAGCTCTTACTAGAATTTTCCATATGAATAAAGGCATTGAGTAGGCCATTTAGGCTAGCTGGCAGGTAAACTTGGTCTGGATATGGTACTAACCTTTAAACTGATGTTTGGATGGAATGTTGTGTTGTCAACATATTCACACTTCCTACTGGGAGTCACTTTGTGGATGAGAGGGGTGTTGGACATCCTGTGATTTGGGAGGTATAATAGGCTAAAGCAAGACTAGCTCAGGCTAGAAAACAAAGGTAGTGATCAGTGATGGCAACAAGTAGAGCCTTCTGTGAAAGGAAGGTATCTGAATCAGGAATAGAAAGTAGTACCTGTTGAGTGAAAGTGGATGATGTTTCACATTAAACACACAGTGCTGTATATTAAGCACAGATCTCATCGTATTCCTCTCTGATTAAAGTGATTAAAGTCCTCAACTATACCCTATCACTGATGGGATACATTTCAAGATCTGTTGCTTAGGGTGACAGTGTGAGTAATTAAGAAATTTATGGGCAACTTTCATGCTATGCTGCTGTGTACTTACCAGGGAGAAGTGAAGAAGCACTACTTCTTCTTGTAACAGTATTGTTTCCTAATCTGGTGACCCACAGAACATGGTTCTGGTCTGCTTTATATTGGCAACTGTTGGGTTAAGCAAAATTAAATGGGTTCCTTTTAGTAGAACTTCTTTGATCCTTTAATATGCTAATAACATGTATTATAAGAAGAAGCTCTAGGCCATTAAGACTGTAATGCCAGTATTTTGGGAGGCTGAAGCAGGAGGATCACCTAAGACACCCTGGCAACAGTGAGACCCTGTCTCTTAAAAAAAATAAGAAGAACTTCTAGTATATCATTCCCTCTTCTACCCCAAAATTGTTCAGATCAGCTGCCTCTAAGTCACTTCTCTATTCACAGATGTGAGGCTGCTTTTTACTGAGTTTCCCTTTAGTAGGTGATGCTTCTGTAGAACTGCCTGCAATTAGATGGCATAAAATTTTCTCTTAGCTTTCTGGACATCCCACACCGCTTCTACTCATGTTTTTCACTCAATGTGTGTATTGAAATTTATAGGAAGGAAAGAGCTTCAAGTCCCATAGGAGATTTGCTGAAATCTGCTGGCCTATAGTAGTGAGCATACCTCTCTGTCTTGGGAGGCCGTTAGTAGGGGGTGGAGTTATGTCAGGGTAGAGGTTATTATGAAAATGTTATTATAGATAATTGGTGTCCAAATCTAGAAGGCAGATATCTGGCTCTGGGATCTAAGAGGAAGGATCAGACCTCAGAGTGACCTATACAAAGAGGGCCTAACAGGGTGAAGAATTCAGACTGGGAAGCTAGATGTGATCCTGACACTTGATTCTTGAAAAAGTGGGGAAGTTTCTGGGGATAAATATATACTGTCTTTCTCTTCACAGAACAATATGAATCTTTTGTGAAATTCACACATGATCAGATTATGCGACGGTATGGGACAAGGCCAACAAGCTGTAAGTATTGCCTAGTTTTTCTTTGAATTTTCCAAGTTCCAAGAACAAGATTTCGACACTGAATATCTTGTCTCTTGAGAGCAAAAAGTTCCCGTGAAGTAAAATAGTAGCTAAGAATACTTAAGTGCCCTGCACTGTGCCAAACCCCTTAAATCCTCACCAAAGCTTCTGTAATCCTCATGGTCACCCTTTGAGGGAGGGATTATTATTAGCCCCTTTTTACAGGTAAGGATAGCATTTAAAGAGGTTATATAATTTGCCCAAGCTCATATCCTAGTAGTTCAGCCAGGATAGAACCTAGGTGGTCTAACGATAGTTTCAATTTTTAATTCTTGTTTTGAGACAGAGTCTCACTCTATTGCCCTGAGTAGAGTGCTGTGGTATCAGCCTAGCTCACAGCAACCTCAAACTCCTGGGCTCAAGCGATCCTCCTGCCTCAACCTCCCGAGTAGCTGGGACTACAGGCGCATGCCTCAATGCCTGGCTAATTTTTCTATTTTTATTAAAGACGGGGTCTCACTATTGCTCAGGCTGATCTCGAACTCCTGAGCTCAAGTCATCCTCCCACCTCGGCCTCCCAGAGTGTTAGGATTACAGGCATGAGCCTGTACCTGGCCCCAGTTGTTAATAAATGAAAGTTGATTACTTAAACCTAGTTTATCAAGTGCATGGTCAGGAATTCTTATTCTAAACATCTTGTAACTACCAGTTAATGCAAGACATGATTTGTAAACAGCTGTATATCTAGCCGAATTTGAGTCAGGTTTCTTAAATTCTTGAGGTTTAGTTCCTTTTAAGTGGCAACTCATATCCTTCATGCTGTTTATCACATTTACTGTTAATATTTTAAAAAGCATGACACTACATTTTTTATACTCTTAAGCTTTTTGTTTTTTATTCCTAATTTACAGATGTGTCCTGAAGCTTTTGTTGCATAACTGGGTACCAGGTTTGACCTCAAGAGATGGCTGCTGTACACTTTTTGCAACTGGTTTGATATCACATTTCAGCTCCAACTTTTCATCCTGAGAACACTTAAACGTTTCTGCAGGTCCATTTTATACAACTTGAAAGACCTTAAAACTTTCTGGTTGCCACAAGCGTATCTTTCTTTTCTGCTCATCCAATAAACAGCTGTGCCCTACTGTGATAGATTTTCCAAACAAAAATACCTGGAGCAGCAGTTTAGCAAAATATGCCTTTAGTGGCACTCAACAAATGGAGTTTCCCCAAGCACAGTTCTGTAAGAAGTGTGTGTGAGAGTGTGTGTATACGTGTGTATGTGTATTTTAAGTTATTATTTGTATTGTGCAAATTTTTTTTGGTCTTGGGGATTCTGGCTGTGAATTTGATGCACGACAATTATGGTTTAAAACATTTGCTTGGTCTACAGAAGATCATTAATGTTTTGTGACCATATAAGTTGTAACAGTGGATTGTTTTATGTGTAGGTATTGTTAAATACAGGGACTGTTTCCAGGCACAGAATATGAATCATAAGTTAGGATGGACATTAGATGTGATTATGATGATATAGCGAAGGTCTGCGGTCCTAGATCTACAAATGTGCAGCGAGAAGTTAGAACAAACTGGAGACGGGCCATTGACACATGGACTCTGCCTAGCTGTGTTAGAAAAACACTTTGACTCCAAGCCTTAAAATACCCACATGGAGTCAGTGCTCACCTCATTTACATAATCAAAGAGCTCCCTGGACACTGAACCTCTAAAGGGAGAAGGTCTCCCCTACAGCAGGAGCATCAGGGTTTGCTCGGGAGCATAACATAGGTGAGCATGGGCCTAGGGCTGGGCCAGGCCCTGGCAGCACTGCTACTTGGGAGGAGCCACTTCACCTTTGTATCAGTTATTAAAAATAGAATTTGGATCCTTTGGTCAGGTTCCCCCAAATTCTTTTGAGGTGTCCATGTTCAACTGCTTGAGCTTTGTTTTGGCAACCCCCTGCCCAAAGTTGCTTATAGGCTGTTCTTCACCTTTTTTCCAAGGCTGAGGAACAGAAAGTAGCCTTTGTTTTGAGGAGGTGGAAGTTAAGTATACATTTATTTTTTACTGTGACTTGTTCAGGACCACATTTTACAAAATGCCTTGTTTCCTTTATTATTGTTTCTGGAAAGGAAAGTTCTATTAATATTGTTTTAGTTTGAATATAGAATAGTTTTTTTAATTAGGGCTTATTTTGAAAAATTCTGAGTGTAATTCAAATGTATGCGAGTACCTTCCAAAGCAAGGTAATATTCAGAGACAGTTGTTCTGATCAGATGGCTTAGAGAAATTTCTGGAATATTCTCATTCGAAGATTCCTTATTAATGAATGTCTTTGACTTAAATCTAACCAAAAACTGCAACATTACTCTTTGTACATTTTCATTATATAGTGTTAACAAGCTTAGTTGCAAACAAATAAAATACTTAAGCTATTTGTTTACCTTGCCTTCTTAATACTGTGATAATGTTTATTCATATAACTTATGTGAGGCTGCTATACCCATTTCGCCAGTACATTCAAGATTTATAGATTTTTTAAAAAAGCCCAGAAGTGATTTTTTTAAATTAAAGAATGATTTTACTTCATATTTGAAGGGCAATTTATTTCATCTCTTCTTTTTCTAGGGTAGTCACTTGTTCCTGGAAGAGGAGCATAGCAGTGGCTATAATGGGAGTGGCCCTGCTGTGGGGTAGTTATACCAAATCAAGGAAAGGGCAACTGTGGGGACCACCAAAAGTCATGGGGGCTGGACCAGGATTGGGGAATATTACCTCACTGAAGTCTTTTTACCAATCAGTGTGATGTGCATACTCACTGTCAAGTGTCAGCCCCGATTCCGTAACTGCTGCTGATTCCTTTTGGGGGGGATGTGGGGTGATATCGATTCTCTTAAATCTGCCTATTCAAGGCATTAGCTCTTGCATGCTATTGAAAAATTTTCCTCTCAAGACTGTGTCCCCAGCACTGACTCATCCCATCATTTTTCATGGTGCTCCTGTTGCTCTTCTGCCTGGAATTAATTCCCTTTTCACTTGACAAATGCCTACTGAAATGGCAACTGTCTTTCTGCTCCCTTCTTCAGGGCAGAGCTATTCATTCAGTAAATGTTTATTAAGCACCTACTGTTTGCCAAGTTTACCCTGATGTGTTCAGGAATGCTGACTCACTAATAAAGCTACATCGGTCTATAAAATCAGACTTTAGTGTATTATATTAATTTATGATGAGAATATATGTCAGGTACAGTAGACTGGTCCTTTGGCCTTCCCCAGTGTGTTTACTTCATGTAGTTATACCATTTGGGAAGCCTAATTAAAGTTAAGAAGCAGCTCTATATATCAAAATAAAAGGAATTCTAGGGATGGAATGTTTACCAGCATCAGGTTACCCCTACGGCCATGAGCCTGGCACAATTCCTCCCCAATTCAGTTTGCTTCAGTGCTTCCTGATTGTTCCACCTGTTCAATTTGATAACTCCTCCACCGTCAAATGGCACATTCTTAGTATCACTTAGTCTACTCTGGTTTCCATTATATTCCAGGCCTTGGGACCCATTTATCTTTCAGATTACTTTGCTTCTATGCTCTGTTGTGTCTGTCCTACAGCTGAATTACTGGGTTGGTGGTAGGGAGAATTTCCAAAGTGTCTTTCCCAGATGTGCTACCCAGGCTACCCAGTTTATTCAAATCTGTGTGATAGTGGTACCAGGATACAGACCTAAATAAAGTTCCCAATGTGCTAAATTTTATAGACCGTCTATCTGCAGAAGGGTAATGTTAGAACTTTTCTCCAGTTATGACTAAGAGATGTGTAAACATGAAAACACCCTATAAGTTGAGGACAGAGTCCTGTGAATGCCCATGGGGACTTTAGACAGCCTCACTAGTGACTGTCCATACACCCTGTGCTCATGCAGCAGGTGAGGCTTGCTCAAGGGGTGGGACTCAGGGCCTTTGATTAGGACTTCTATCCTTGTTCTGTTATGCTTTGAAAATGGGAGCAAGGCTATGTTGGGGAAGACAGATCGCTGTGACCCTGGCAGTGAATGCCTAGTCATGTTCCTCCAGGACTCGGGAGCCTTGGAAAAAGGTGACAGCTTGGGCTTGCCTCTCTACGCATAAAGCCCCTTGATTTTGTTATAAGAACACACTCCCATGAAGCAAAGGATAAGCACAGCAAGGCAAAGAAAAGGTAAAGGAGGGGAGAGTGGGAAGGGTACAGTCGAAAGTTTAGGTCCCTGGTGGCCTAGGGAGCATCCAAATCTAGGCAGCTGCCTATGGGCACCATAGCAACGCACAAGGCTCAGTTCTGTCATGGGCATTTTGGTAGTTGTCATTTTCCAGTCTTTGCAGTGGAGGAAGACCTGCTGCCAACATCCTTGCACACCCAAGCTGACATATGGCTGTGTGCATGCTCGAGTGGAGGGGGGTGGCATATCAGTATTTAACAAGTTCTATAATAGACGTTTACAGGGCTGGCAGGACTTCAAGAAAGGCCTAGAAATTCTTCAACAGAAAATGGTGTGTGACGACCTAAAATAAGTGAGGTGAGGCAAATAATGGAGGTCTATGAAGTCAAAAGTTGAGGACATGGCCTGGGAAAAACAAACCACAGACAAATCTGTAGCTGTTTTTCTGAAGGGGAATTTGGGAGCTCCAGTGAAGGAGGATAGAGCATATGGAAAGGAAAAAAAGCAGGGGGTGGGTGGGTAGTGAGACAAAATGGGGTTACATTCTTGTCTGGCCCAGGAAAATCTACATTTTACATAGGGTGAATGTTACAAAAGAGAAGTGAAGGAAGCATCAGTTATGTACATGTCCTTGGGTAGGTGGAATAATGTTTGATCCTGTCTTATCTCTCTTCTGCACCTGAGAAGATAAACTTATAATTCATTATTAGTGTGGAATCAAACAGACTAGTTTTAGGAACTAGACTTAGCCAACAGACCTGAAGTTAGAATTTGCATGTGCTTGCTTATGAGAGGCCAACAAGGAATTTATGAATGATCCGTAGGGCCAATCCTTCACAGTTGCCTGAGTCGTTTCCTTCCCTTTTGAATAAGCAGTTGGAGGGGTGATCCTGAGATTTTTATTTTCTTTTACACACGATAAACTGGATCTGGACAGATTAGGCATTTGCCTGGGAGACAGTGGGAGGGTGGCAGCCAGTGGGTGGGATCATTCCAGGCAGAAGAAACTTCCTTACAAAGCTTGGAAGCCTGCGAGCAATTCTGGATGGCTGAGAACACAAGTTTGAGTGGGAGTGGTAAGGAGGGAGATCTGAGGATTTAGAAATGGATGAGGGGTCCTCAATGCCAAACCCCCCAATTTTGACCTTTTCTTGAAACACTGATACGTCAAACACAGCCCGGGCAGAATGGATGGCCTCCTCCTTTGTATTTTGTTCATCTTTCTATAACAGATCACTTGCACAACATTCTGATTGTGTCTTCATCTCAAGGGCCATGGAAGTGATTTTTGAATGGTCAGATTGGAGTTTTAGAAAAGTAACCGGCAACAATACAAGAGTGAATGAGAAAGGAGCAAGACTGGATGCAAAAAGGCATCAGAGACGAAAGTAAATTCCATTGCCTGCCTCCATTATACCCAAATCTAAGTTGTGGAATCTGGCAGCCCAAAGGCAATTTCCTATCTGGGTTTTGTTTGGCCAGCAATTTTTTAAAAATTAGTTGCCCCACATTTTAAAGTGAGAGGTTTCACATTTAAACAATAACAACAGATTTCTACCTTCCTTGAAAAATCTGAAGATTTGACAGTTTGGGCCCCTGACTCTGTCATAAGATGGAGCTGAGCTGCTGCCTCTCCACCTTGTCACGTTTCCTACCACTCCATCCCTCAAACTAAGGGCAAGTATCAGTCACCGTTCATCATGGTATTTTGTTTTCATTTCCTGATAGTGGGCCCTGTTTGGCCCTGGAGGCATTTGAGATGCCCATCTTTATACTAATCCTGCATGGTATCCCTAAGTGATACAATGAAATCTGTGTTTTAGGATGACTAGTCATGCAAGACATTGATGTGAGGCCCTGGGAGATAGGAAAGGATAAATCAGAATATTTGACAGAACTTGGGCCATAATTAAATATTAGATGAAAGAAGGAGGAAAGGCAATATACGACTCCAGAG